TAGATTGGACTCATAGTGATGAGCCTGTTTACAGCCTCCCAAGAGCTGGGATTACAGGCGCGCGCCACCACGCCCAGTCTCAGTTGCCATCTCAGGGCGTCCTGGGGGCGGGGCCAGAACTGCTGGCCAGGGATTGAACTCCTGGCCCCTGCATCTGCTTGCAGGCCACAGTATCTATTGTACATTTTGGATCTTACTTACTCCTTCAGTTTCTCACACTGGAGAGATAATACAATATTTACACATGTGGACCTGCTTTATTTCACTTATAAGTATGGTGTAGAGTTGTATCCATTTACCTATAAAAAGCCTCAAGTTTATCTTTCCTTATAGCTGAATAGTAATCTAGAATATATATATTTTTATCCATTCCTCAGTTGTTGGGCATTTTAGTTGTTTCCAAGATTTAGCTATGACAAGTTGTGCTGCTATAAACATGGATGCACATGTATTACTGTGGCATGATTTTTTTTAATTCTGGGAAGATACCCAGCAAGGGAATATCTGGGTTGAATGGGACTCTAATCTTCGTTTTGTGAGGAAGCTCCACAGTGGTTTCCACAGTGGTTGCACCAGTCTACACTCCCATCAACAGTGGAGAAGGATTCTTGTTTCTCTCACAGTCCCTCCAGCATTTGTTATTGGTTGACTTCCAGGTGTTAGCCATTCTTCCTGAAGACAAAATCTCAGTGTTGTTTTAATTTGTCTCTCAAATGATGTTAAACATTTTTTTTGGTAATTTATTTGACATTTGTATTTCTTAATCTGAGAAGTATGTACTCATCTCAGATGCCCATTTTTGGATTGGATCTTTGAATTTTGGGGGCCTGATTTTTTTCAATTCTTTATATGTTCTAGATGGAAGTCCTTTGTCTGAGGGACAACTGGCTATAATTTTTTCCTACTCTATGGATTGTCTTTTCACACTTTTTTGCAAAAGTTTTTCAATAAGGTGAGACCACATTTGTTGATTCTTTGTAGTATTTGCTGTGCAGTCTGGATTTTATTCATGGACTCTACCTACACCTATGTCTTCAAAATTTCTAACTATTTTCTCTTACAATGAATTTGTGTTTCTGCTTTAATATTTAGATCTTTGATCCATTTTGACTTTAGTTTAGTGCATGGTGATAGACATGGGTCTTGTTTTAGTGTTTGGCATTTTTCTTCAGTACCATTTATTAAAGAGACAATCTTCCAGTGAACATGTTTGGCTCTTTTATCAAAGATAAGCTGGCTTAGTGTGTTTGGAGTCATGTCTACATCTTCTATTCTGGCCTGTTTCTGGATAAATCTGGTCCATTGATTCTCAGGTCTATTTTTTTTTTTT